CTCCTCCCTGGTTGAATTGGCCAAGAAGTGTTGGCATCTGAAGGAGATTCACTGTTACTGCGTGGTTAGCCAAGACGTGGTGGATGCGTTTCTCTCGCACTGCCCTGGTTTGAGAGATTACACTCTTTCCACCCAACTCTTGTCTTGTATGTTACCAGTTATGTGCCCCTAACTTGGCCAGCGTGCAGGTGAACATCCCTGACTCTGAAGCGTCAATGCAACACGATTTGGGGCGCCAAGGGGTACGATGCACTTTCTTCCCATGGAGTGGGCAATTTAAATAAAATGGTTTTATTTAAATTGCTTTTTAAACCGCTTTCTTTTATTTTGATATTACTGTACAGATCCGTTTTATTAATCTCCTGATCCGGGCACATACATAAAGGATCTTTATTTTTATTTTTTTTTATAACCCCCCTCCCCCCCAAAACCCCCTCTATATATGCACAGCCGGTCACGGAAAGAAAAGCACAGAATTCTTGGGAACAATGCAAACTTTTGTTTACTCTGCATTCTGAATTTTCATTCAGCTGCAGATTTTAAAATTTTTCTAACTCTTGTTAACACCGTGGTAACTTTGGATTCACAATAAAGATTTGCACATAATGAACAGTTTGTGGTTTTCTTGCTGTTTCTTTAAATGCTTGCCTGGGCAAAAAAAAAATCACTTTTGTTTTTGTTAATGCAGGTCCCAGGTTGCATTAAGTTAAAGTCAGAGATGCAGAGCCTGCTGAGTGAAGGATTTAAGTAGCCTCTGAGCATCTCTAGATTTTGGTTCTGACTTGTGGCTTCTCATGACATCAAACGGCTCAGTTTCCACAATGGAAAATTCTTCTGTATTTCTGTTTTTAATTGCGTTGAAACTAAAGTTCTTTCTGGAGAGGTACAGGTATTCCTTGCTTAATGACCAGTTGCTTAGCAACCATTCAAGATAGGAGGAACTCCCCACTCCCAAAAAAGGTACTTATGACCTGATTCCACTGGCTGCACCCCCTCTGCAGTGGTTTAAGCACTTGGCAACTGGCTCACCTCTACGTCCAGCTGAAGCATTCTGGGGTCCCGTGACCAGGATTGACGACTTTGGTTTCCGGCCTCTAAAAAAAATCACCTATAGGAATACATAGATCCACTTAACGACTGTGGGATTTGCTTAAGGACTACTGCAAAAAGAAAAAAGTCATAAAATCCAGTACGGTCATGTGGGTCCCTCGACTTATAACCATCATAACTCTCAAAGAAAATTCTGGGTTCCATTACAGTCCTAATTGGAGGATTACCTGTAGTGATATGGGATGATGACAAGAAGAGCCACAGACAATGGTTAGATAAGAGGCAGCTGAGCCTGCAGAAGGAATTGGGGGGGCTGACAGATGTCTGAGAAGGGACCCTCCCTAGTTTCCTGGAACTGTAAAAGCAGATGGGGGAGGACTTGCAACATTCTGTTAATGCAGCCTTATAATCGAGATAAGAGTTGTTATTTATGGTTGTGCTTCCCGTCTGGACAACCTCTCAAGGTCTAACCTCAAATCTTGCAAAGTCTGAAAAGTATTTCTGCCCTCCTCTCCTTTGACTGGGGGGGGGGGAAATTAGGGAGGGTCTCTTTTGTAACGCTCCCCTTGGCCTCTTCCCTGTCCCTTTCGGGGGACTGAACTGTCTTCCACACGCTGGTTGTCCAGTCTTCGGCTCCACCTTCCTGTCTGCCAAGGTCCTTCCCACATGTTCTTGGTAGTTCATTGATTAGGCGGTTATTTACAACCAGGTAGACAAACAGTAAATAAGAACCTGATCAAGAAAGAAAACAACCGTCCCACCAAAACTGATAGGACATGGGGCTAGTATATAAAATGAAAGCAAATCCACTCCTTTGTAGCACTGAAGATGTTACCTAGCTGGGTCATGAAATGTCTGCAAGAAAATAACCAAGCTCAGAGAACTCAAGGACCCCACAGTCCTCCTCCTCCTCCTCCTCCTCCTCCTCCTCCTCCTCCTGATAATGTTAGCTAGTTTGGATAATGAAACATCTGCAAGAAAATAACCAAGCCCAGAGAACTCAAGGACCCCACAATCATTCTCCTCCTCCTCCTCCTCCTCCTCCTCCTCCTCCTCCTCCTCCTGATGATGTTATCTAGTTTGGATAATGAAAAGTCTGCAAGAAAACAGCCATGCTCAGAGAGCCCCAAGGACCCCTCATTTCAACCGTGAGCTGCTCTCCGTTCTTTACTCTACAGGTTAGAGTGTTTCTCTTCGAACGATGCAATCGTCCCTCGCCTTCGCTGCCCTCCATCCCCAACTCCTTTGGGGTTTCATCAGATTAAAAAGTGGTCCGTAAAAACTGCCTGAGCAACTAAGCTGCGGACCTGAAGGGGCTAGCTAGGGGCAGATGGCTTTTCATTCTCTCCTGCAGGTTGTGTAAGCACAAGAGGAGTTAGTAGGTGTTGCCGGTTCCTCTTCTCCGCCCCCCCCCCCCCAGTGATTTGCTGACCTCCTGTGTTTGTGCAAGCCCGTGTATTCTCTTTGCATGATGCTGCATCTTTTTTCAAGGCATTGTGCGGCTGAATGCAGGGAGCTTTCGCTCAGAGCATTGTCCCCCCCCCCCCGAGCCCACCCCATTAGCCATGTCTGCATATTGTGATGTGTTTGGAGCNCTCCTCCCTGGTTGAATTGGCCAAGAAGTGTTGGCATCTGAAGGAGATTCACTGTTACTGCGTGGTTAGCCAAGACGTGGTGGATGCGTTTCTCTCGCACTGCCCTGGTTTGAGAGATTACACTCTTTCCACCCAACTCTTGTCTTGTATGTTACCAGTTATGTGCCCCTAACTTGGCCAGCGTGCAGGTGAACATCCCCGACTCTGAAGCGTCAATGCAACACGATTTGGGGCGCCAAGGGGTACGATGCACTTTCTTCCCATGGAGTGGGCAATTTAAATAAAATGGTTTTATTTAAATTGCTTTTTAAACCGCTTTCTTTTATTTTGATATTACTGTACAGATCCGTTTTATTAATCTCCTGATCCGGGCACATACATAAAGGATCTTTATTTATTTTTTGTTTTTATAACCCCCCTCCCCCCAAAACCCCCCTCTATATATGCACAGTCGGTCACGGAAAGAAAAGCACAGAATTCTTGGGAACAATGCAAACTTTTGTTTACTCTGCATTCTGAATTTTCATTCAGCTGCAGATTTTAAAATTTTTCTAACTCTTGTTAACACCGTGGTAACTTTGGATTCACAATAAAGATTTGCACATAATGAACAGTTTGTGGTTTTCTTGCTGTTTCTTTAAATGCTTGCCTGGGCAAAAAAAAAAATCACTTTTGTTTTTGTTAATGCAGGTTGCATTAAGTTAAAGTCAGAGATGCAGAGCCTGCTGAGTGAAGGATTTAAGTAGCCTCTGAGCATCTCTAGATTTTGGTTCTGACTTGTGGTTTCTCATGACATCAAACGGCTCAGTTTCCACAATGGAAAATTCTTCTGTCGTTCTGTTTTTAATTGCGTTGAAACTAAAGTTCTTTCTGGAGAGGTACAGGTATTCCTTGCTTAATGACCGGTTGCTTAGCAACCATTCAAGACAGGAGGAACTCCCCACTCCCAAAAAAGGTACTTATGACCTGATTCCACTGGCTGCACCCCCTCTGCAGTGGTTTAAGCACTTGGCAACTGGCTCACCTCTACGTCCAGCTGAAGCATTCTGGGGTCCCGTGACCAGGATTGACGACTTTGGTTTCCGGCCTCTAAAAAAAAATCACCTATAGGAATACATAGATTCACTTAACGACTGTGGGATTTGCTTAAGGACTACTGCAAAAAAAAAAAAAGTCATAAAATCCAGTACGGTCATGTGTGTCCCTCGACTTATAACCATCATAACTCACAAAGAAAATTCTGGGTTCCATTACAGTCCTAATTGGAGGATTACCTGTAGTGATATGGGATGATGACAAGAAGAGCCACAGACTAGAGTGTTTCTCAACCTTGACCATTTTAAGGCATGTGGACTTCAACTCCCAGAATTCCACAGCCAGCAATGCTGGCTGTGGAATTCTGGGAGTTGAAGTCCACATGCCTTAAAATGGTCAAGGTTGAGAAACACTGGACTAGACAATGGTCAGATAAGAGGCAGCTGAGCCTGCAGAAGGAATTGGGGGGTGGGGGCTGACAGATGTCTGAGAAGGGACCCTCCCTAGTTTCCTGGAACTGTAAAAGCAGACTTGCAACATTCTGTTAATGCAGCCTTATAATCGAGATAAGAGTTGTTATTTATGGTTGTGCTTCCCGTCTGGACAACCTCTCAAGGTCTAACCTCAAATCTTGCAAAGTCTGAAAAGTATTTCTGCCCTCTTCTCCTTTGACTGGGGGGGGGGATTAGGGAGGGTCCCTTTTGTAACGCTCCCCTTGGCCTCTTCCCTGTCCCTTTCGGGGGACTGAACTGTCTTCCACACGCTGGTTGTCCAGTCTTCGGCTCCGCCTCCCTGTCTGCCAAGGTCCTTCCCGCATGTTTTTGGTAGTTCGTTGATTAGGCGGTTATTTACAACCAGGTAGACAAACAGTAAATAAGAACCTGATCGAGAAAGAAAACAACCGTCCCAACAAAACTGATAGGACACGGGGCTAGTACATAAAATGAAAGTAAATCCACTCCTTTGTGGCACTGAAGATGTTACCTAGCTGGGTCATGAAATGTCTGCAAGAAAATAACCAAGCTCAGAGAACTCAAGGACCCCACAGTCCTCCTCCTCCTCCTCCTCCTCCTCCTCCTCCTCCTCCTCCTCCTCCTGATGATGTTATCTAGTTTGGATAATGAAANCCCCCCCCCCCCCAGTGATTTGCTGACCTCCTGTGTTTGTGCAAGCCCGTGTATTCTCTTTGCATGATGCTGCATCTTTTTTCAAGGCATTGTGCGGCTGAATGCAGGGAGCTTTCGCTCAGAGCATTGTCCCCCCCCCCCCGAGCCCACCCCATTAGCCATGTCTGCATATTGTGATGTGTTTGGAGCAGAGCCAATGCCTCTGCTGATAGGGGTCCTGTGGGGAAAAGGGGTGTTTTCTCAGCTCTGCCTAGGACACTAAGTGGCTCTTTCCCCTTCTGATCTATGCAAAAGAGAAGAAGGGGGGAGCATTGTTGCAAAAAACGATGGTGTGAGAGTAGTTTTGTGAGTTGCGACACCATGCAGGACTCAACCACAGCCCTTGCTATGGACGGTTACACCAGCAATGTGCCGGCCTTCCTTACCAAGCTGTGGACTCTGGTTGAAGATCCTGAGACGAACCATCTTATCTGCTGGAATACGGTGAGTCGAACTCATGTTTGGGGATTTAAAGGGGTGACCGAAATGCAGGCCGAAGTGCTTGGAACACGGCATCCAGTTTTGGTCACCACAATGTAAAAAAGATGTTGAGACTCTGGAAAGAGTGCAGAGAAGAGCAACAGAGATGATTGGGGGACCGGAGGCTAAAACATATGAAGAACAGCTGCTGGAATTGGGTCTGTCTAGTTTAATGAAAAGAAGGGGACATGATAGCAGTCTTCCAATATCTCAGGGGCTGCCCCAGAGAAGAGGGAGTCAAGCTTTTCTCCAAAGCCCTTGAAGGCAGGACAAGAAGCAACGGATGAAAGCTAATGAAGGACTGAAGCAATCTAGAACTAAGGAGAAATTTCCTGACAGTTAAAACAATCAGTTGAACGACTTGCCTTCAGAAGTTGTGGGTGCTTCCAACACTGGAGGTTTTAAAGAAAAGATTGGACAACTGTTTGGCTGAAATGGTATATAGGATCTCCTGCTTGAGTAACAGGTTGGACTAGAAGACCTCCAAGGTCCCTTCCAACTCTGTTATTCTGAAATTGGGTAATCCATTCCAGTTAAAGCAGCTGGCAGGAATTCAACATTAAGTTTTGTAGGACTGCCTCTGCATCTCAGATTGTGAGTTTCTCAACTGTCTGTCTGAACGATCGTAGGTGTTTTGTTTTACTCAGAACAATTTCAGTCCACTGTCCTGTTGAATTCTAAGGAAGGCCCGGTCCTTACTTTATATCAGAGGCTGACAAACTTTGTGGGCTGGTGCTGATGTCTAAATTATTTTGCAGTCTCCCCCCCCCCCCCAAGAGATGTTTGATTGTAAGTGGATCATAGATGATGGTAACAGTGATGGTTATATCAGCCACGGCAATAATGAAAAGGGTGATAAGCATACTAATTTTGAAAGAAGGTGTTGAGTTCTCAAAATAGCTGTTGTGATGGACTCACCAGATCACAAAAAGCCTCATTTACTGGAAGGCAAATAAGTGAAGTTTCTGTTCCTCTTATTCCCTCCTCCCATTGATCTGTGCCTCAGGAAATGATTGTGGTCCATGAAAGCATTATTACAAAGGATTGTGCTTCCCTGCATGTCATGTTTGAGAGAAAGAGAGAGAGAGAGAGAGAGAGAGAGAGAGAGAGAGAATCTAGTCTACTGAAAAGGAGGACTAGGGCTGACATGATAGCAGTGTTACATTATTTGAGGGGCTGCCACAAAGATGAGGGGGGCAACCTATAATCCAATGCACCAGAAGGCAAGACAACAACGGATGGAAACTAAGCAAGGAAAGAAGCAACCTGGAAGTAAGGAGAAACTTCCTAACAGTGAGAACAATTAATTAGTGGAACGGCTTGCCTCCAGAAGTTGTGGGTGCTCCATCACTGGAAGCTTTCAAAAAGTATGAAGCATGAAGAAAATGGAATGGAAAACTGCTGGCCAGTGGGGAAAAATCTGGCATATCACATCTACATACCTGGCCTGCTGAATTTCAGAGACAAGATGTCCGCTTACTCAACCGAGGAATTCCTTGGACCCCGTAGCTGACATTTGACACCATTACAAAAGCTTATGCACTTGGGGTTGGGGGCACGATGGTTCTAGGACTATTCATCTTTGTGGCTAGATGGGATTGCGCTGCCCCAAAGAAACCCCATTCAACTCCCAGAATTAGCTGTCTGGGGAATTCTGGGAGTTGAAGTCCACCCAAAACGTTCCAGCTGGGGAATCTGGGAGTTGAAGTCCACCCATCTAAAAGCGTGGCTGACTTGGGAATTCTGGGAGTTGCAGTCCACCCATCTTAAAGTTACCTTTGTTGTTGTTGTTGTTGTTGTTAATTGCGAAGTCGTGTCCAGCCCATCGCGACCCCATGGACCACGTTCCTCCAGGCCTTCCTGTCCTCTACCATTTTCTGGAGTCCATTGAAGCTCACGCCTGCTGCTTCAGTGACTGCATCCAGCCACCTCCTTCTCTGTCGTCCCCTTCTTCTCTTGCCCTCCATCTTTCCCAGCATTGGGCTCCTCTTCAGTTAGTCCTTCCTTCTCATTAGGTGGCCAAAGGACTTGAGTTTCAACTTCAGGATCCGGCCTTCTAAAGAGCAGTCGGGGTTGATCTCCTCTAGGACTGACCGGTTTGTCCTTATTAGCAAGGCTAGCATCTGACCAACTTTGGCTCACTGCTGTAAAAGTTAAGCAGGTTTAAAGTTGTTGTTTTTTTCTCCCAGGATTGTAGAGTACCCTGGGTAGTAAAATCGGTGCCCCGAAGAAATCAACCATTAATCATTTCCATTTCCGGAAAATGACATTTGCCCATCAAGGGAGACAGAGGGCTTTGAAGGTGGGTCTAATTCTGTCCTGCTTTATTTTTATTTTTATTTCAGAATGGCACCAGCTTCCATGTTTTTGATCAGAGTCAGTTTGCAAAAGAAGTCCTGCCCAAATATTTCAAGCACAACAACATGGCCAGTTTTGTCCGCCAGCTGAATATGTGTAAGTAACACTGGAAACTCGGGGAGGTTGGGGTCCTCTGAATGCTACTCTACTACACCCCCCCTCATCTCTAACCACTAAACGAAGGCTTGTAAGTCAAGGACTGTCTGTATACAAGACAGCTGCTGGCCTGCTGGTATTCTGACTTTGCCCTGAGCTGAAGTCTCCAGTTTGCTGATGCAAGAAAGAAGACTAAAGTAGATGCAGACATGCCCAAAGTTATGACATTCCCCCCCAATATTTTACCTGGTATTTTGGTTAACTTGAAAGAATAAACTGTCGCTCGAAGCCACCCAGAGTCACTCAATAGCGAAATGGATGGCATCCAAATTTAATAAGTAAATCAGAATAAAACAAACTATACTGAATAGAAAATGCTATTATTATTGTCACAATATTTATATCATGGCAATTTGTATTATAAACTTATCTAAAATTATGCATAAAATTATGTAAGAACGTTATAAAATTATAAAGTGCATATAATTGCAAGTGTTGAGTCACACACTTGCCATCTGTTTCTCAATACAGATAGTCCTCGACTTATAACCACAATCGAAGCCAAAATTTCCATTGCTAAGCAAGATGGTTGTTAAGTGAATCACCACAGTTATTAAGTTAGGCACACAGCTGTTAAGTGAATCTGGATTCCCCCCTTGACTTTGCGTGTCAGAAGGTTGCAAAAAGGGAATCACATGACCCTGGGACTGTCATAAATATGAGTCAGTTGCCAAGCATACGAATTTTTACTATGACTGCGAGGAATAGAAACCCTTCCATTCTCCACCGTTGAGTCGGAACTGAAGAAGCTTCTTGGATGATAAGCGAAACGTCTTCAAGAGAAAAAACCAACACCAGTTGCCTTTAGAAGAAGCACCTTTGGGACAACCATGACCTGGATGACTGAGAATCTCCAGAGACATCCCAGACAAATGGACGTCCAATCTTGCTCTGTTATTGTACTCCACAACAGGAGAGTAAATAATTTCCTATACAGTAATTCTGCGGCAATGGGAAAGTAGCTTAGCTCTTGCACAGATGATCCTAAACTTAACCACCACAAGCTGAACCAGGAAATTGGCCACTATAAGCTGCATTGTTATGAAGTATTGTGTGACCTCCAGTCCTTTTACTAGATTTCTGCTGTCTGTTGCATGCAGATGGGTTTAGGAAAGTGGTAAATATCGAACAAGGAGGACTCGTGAAGCCCGAACGTGACGATACGGAATTCCAGCATCTTTATTTCCTGCAAGGTCACGAGCATCTTTTGGAGCTGATCAAAAGGAAGGTAGGAGATGCCTTGTTAACATTCGGCAAGGTTCGTCCAGAAATGCGTTCTGAAATTCCATTTTTACAATTGCAACCCGGGTGCTTTGCCAGAATCTCCATTTCCCTGAGCTGGGAATTGCGCTCCCTTGTTTGAAATTTGAGGGGTATATTGTGTTTGGACAAAACAGTGGGTGTGAGAGCGATTTTCATTTTCACACACATACACAAAAATCCTGCTGTTGGCCGGGGTGGCCAGCTCCCGCTTCCTTTTATTGTGGGGAAGTAAAATTGCATTGGCAGCACACCAGAAAACCCCTTTGTATCGCCAGAGTGGGCAGGGCCAAACTTTTCATTTGGTTTATTGGAGGGCTGGAAGCCTTTTAATGTAGCTTCCTTAACACTTATGTATTCTACATCAGGGGTCCCCAACCCTGGTCCATGGACCGGCACTGGGCTGCGCAAACAAGCAAAACCCCATCCAGGGGATGCAGGCAGCACACGAAACCACACACACAGTCTCTCTCCACGGAACCGGTCCCTGGTGCCCAAAAGGTTAGGGACCTCTGTTCTACATCCTACAAAGAGATCAAACCCATTTAGGTCCTTAACTCTTAAGCTGAAAGAAGTCATTCGTAAGGGGAGATGCTACTCACCTCTCCCACTCTGCATTCCAGCAGCCATGACAGACTCTGCTCTATCAGACCTGAAAGTGGGGCACATTCCAGCAAAACAGTGTTGTGACTGTGAGCTGGCACCTTTCAGGGGTATTGGACAGCATTCTCCTATCATCTAAACCAGGGGGGGCTCCAAACCTGGCTACTTTAAGACTTGTGGACTTCAACTCCCAGAATTCCCCATGGTTGGCTAGGGAATTCTGGAAGTTGAAGTCCACAAGTCTTAAAGTTGCCAAGTTTGGAGAGGCCAGATCTAGAGTTTGGAAGACACCAAGCTGAGCTGTAGATCTTTAAAGCGCTCCATGGCATCGGACCTGGATATT